TGAGCATTAAGCAGATGGTGCTAACAAGTTGATTTGTCACATAATTTCCAAATTTTATTCAAAACCGTAATTATTTTAAAGATGAATATGAATAAGCAATGATCTAATTCATACAACTTTCCCTTAATCGACTCTAATCCCATTTTTCTTTCAAAACTTTTAATTTTTCATCCTATTGATTAGAGGGAGAAGCTTAAAATGGAATAATTTTGAAATTGGAAGGCAATTTTACGGTCGATCGCCTTATTTGGGATGTCGCAATTTCAGCAAGGCTTTGTCGACCTGTTCTCAAAAGTTTTTGCTCCATTCACCTAACTTTTCTTCTGCGACCCTTAAGAGAATGAAAGAGAATGGGAGTCAGAGTCTGAGCCAGAGGGATTGTATGTCTCTAGACATCTATATGTGTGCAGAAATGAAAAATAATTATTTAAAAAAGCTTAATTACGTTAATTAACTGTTCATAACCTGTATAGTGTCGGATTATTTTGGTGTGTCATCCTATTCTTGTATTCAACCACTAATTACGATACCGTAATCTGATCTTTATGCTAATTGGTTAGGATAGTATTAGCGACTATTTGTAAATTGCCTATAGTTTACAAGGTAATTGACAAAAATATTAAACATTCAAATAATTGTTTAGTTGATTTATATGCTATAATTCACCAAAACATTATAGTTTTCCAGCTTCGTACTATTTTCGCGCCTTTTTCTTCCACGTGAGTTCACGTTCATGTTCATCTATGATTCATTCTTGAACGTGTTGCGCTTTGATGAGCGGTTGTGCATTCATAGTTAGCTACTAATTGGACTGTCACTAATGTCATTTGTACATTAATTATATTTTGTTGATCAACATTTTGAGCATTATTTTAAGTTTAAGCTTAACTCATTGAGTTTGTCCGTATGGCTTGTTAGCATACCGAATGTGATGATGAAGATGATGATGATGATGATGTTGATGAAGAAGAAGGAGAGAGCAAGGACAGCTATGCCTCTCCAGATGTTTACAAAATTAGAGAATCGGCATTACGGATGCCTAATTTGGACAAATGATTAGACGGACTGCCTTAATTTGCCTTACCAAATCTTCCGGTAGAGAAATAGTTATACATGTAGCAGGATTGTGATTCAAAAAAAACACAAAACACATCTGTATTAGATTTGCTCAAGACATACATTTCCTTCTCTCATACGCTTTTATGGTATGCTTTTTCTCTTACTCTTTCTCTTTCTTCAATTAATTTATAAAGTTTTATGAGATAATCAAGCAAATCAGACTGGAAAGTACAAATTATTTGATTAGGAAAGCAGTGAGCAGCTTTTACTCATTTTCATGCTTTGAAGGCTTTTGATGTTCATCAACGACGTGTCTGCAGCCGTTGCCGTCACGTCTTCAGTTTTGAAGTCGTCGTCAAAATGTTCTTGATGCAAATCATCATAACATATAAAAATATAAAGTTGATTTAGGAGAGATTAGAGAAAAAGAAGTTGTAAGGAGCAGCCTAATCGGCTGCTTCTGCTCTTCTTCTCGACTAATCTCATTAGACTACCAACTTGATGACTTGAATCAATTGCTTACCAAAAGAGATGAAGGGTAGGAGGACAAGCAGGCTAGTTGAACGGCCTACCGAAGGTTAAATCCCTCAATCGGCTAAGCACCAGCTGTCCATTTTTCTGATTCCCTACATGCTTCTCCTTGTGTTTATTATTTGTCATGGTTTCTTACATGAGCGATAAGGTGGTGAACGACTTTCTCATAATGCAATCTTCACACATTTACTGTATTCACGAACTGTCATCTTGTATTCACTCATTTGTTTGTTAAATTATGTTCTTCATTGGCTGGTTGCAACTTGAGCAGCAAACAACTTCCGAATTTATACCTTTGGACGATCAATGTCAATTTCTGGAAGACAAACTTCTTATTGCCGGGTTGTATATAAAACGCTTTCTCTTTTTTTCCCTCTCTCTCTCTCTTCATCTCTCCCTCTTTATTTGTTACTATTTCCCTCCATCTCTCTCTATCAGTCTCTTTCTCTCTCTTTTCATTTCTTCTGTCAGAGTTGTTTGTCGTTCGTTTAGCAGATTTATGAAGTTTAGGAATTGAGACCTAGTCAAACGATTTGTCTCTTTGGTGAACAATTTAACCTAATCAGAAGATAACATGATTGTTGAGTAGAAAAAAATATTTTTTTTTCTCAATATTATTTTGTTACTCAAGGATTATTTCCTTCTTCTTACTCCTGCATCATCTACTAAGACTTCTTAACTATATGGTTCATTAATATATATTTTTCGGTAACTTCTTACTAACATCTGGTCTAGTAGCACCTTCTCTCTATAATCTTTGTGACCAATTGAGTTGTTTCTCTATTGCTCTGTGTATATTTTTCTACATACATATCTCTATTTTACTCCATCATTTTCTACCTCATGCTCTCTCTCTCTCTTTCTCTCCTCCATCCAATGCACAATTAGCTAATTCACTCCAGATTGGATTAAATCTCGAGTTGCCTAATTTCTTCCAAGCTTTTCTCATAAAACACACATACACCACCACATTCTTAATTAATTAATTTTTTTTCTTTACGTTTTTATCAACTCTCTCTCTCTCTCTCTCTCTCTCTCTCTAGTTCTCCATTCAACCGTCTAGCTCTTTCTCTTCAAGTCAGCCAGCTCGTTTTCCCTCTAAAGTTTATATATTTTTTTTCTCTAAAATTTCTGCTTAAAAGTATTAGGGAGAGAGAAGGAAATAGATAGTGAGAGACGAGCAAGAATGGAGGAACTGAATAATTTCAGTAATCAGCTTACATATCCTCATCAAAATTTTATTGAATACCCAAATTCCTAATTCAAGTTTATGCTTTAAGCTTATATGGATATAGTTAAACTCATTCATAACTAACTTTTAAAGGATTTTCTCTCTCGTTGTTATTCTTAAAAAATCTTTTGTATTGTTACATTTCTTGCATTGAATTATTTCCAAAAGGAAATTTGATTGAGATTCTCAAAAAATTATGAATTACTTGCCTGTTTACCTCGCGCTCCAACTCATCATACAGTATGCTCCACCTCTTTTTTTTTATTACCAATCTATTTCCCTCTTAATCTCTGAAAAGTTTTAGAGATCACATCTTGAGCTCTCCATCCATTGCTATGCATTTGTTAACGAAATTCTTCATTTCATATGGTAATAATGTATATTTTCAATTCCACTACTTTTCCTCATCATCACTGACGTAAGTCTTGGTGCACGTCTTGAAATTCCTTCAATGAGGATTTGAAAGAGTTCACTATGTTATATGTTCTGTTACAGCTGTAGTTCCACCCTTTTTCTTACTGTCTCTCTCTCTATATATATTTCTCTCTATTTGACTCTCGTTATCCATTTTTCTCTCTATAGCCTCTCGCACCAAATTATGTGCGCGTCATTAGCTGTCGGCAGTGGCCGTCTGGCGTTAACCTTATTTGGCCTCCAATTTGCTCAACTCATCATCAGCACCCCTGCTTACCCCCAACGGCACCCCAGTCACCCCCTTCATGGCATCGTCATGGTGCTTTAGTCGTGTTAGTTTATTACTATATGACGGATATTATTTAAATACTGTAACCGTCATTAAGAAACTGCCGGAGGCAATATTTTGTATTCATACAGTAATCTTAAGATAACAATATACGTTACAACTTTTATGGAAATGTACCTATACTATTTCGTTAATATTTAATTTATGCAAATCCTTACACACCCTATTGTCCGCCGGTGTAACTTGTCGAATTTGAACTTTCGTCAGAACTAACCAATTTTTGACTTTTTTTAGTTTCTTTATTAATCTATTACGAAATGAGCAAGTTCATATTCTCTAAGCTAAGGTGTCCATAGAGTATTATGAATTATCTTGTAAAGCCATTAGAACTCATCACCAAATGTGAAGTCGGCTAGATGAAATGGAACATCGGGTGTCCCATCTGGCTTCATCTCATCATCAACTTAGTCTTGTCTTGTCGTCAAATTGTTTTTTTAACTTTTTCGTCTCATTCCAAGTATAATCTCGAATATTATTTTCGATGTTTCAAAGGGCTTCCCATACGTTTCAGCTTTTTTTGTCTGCTATCACACAAAATTTATATCAAGTTCTTAAAGCTTCTGAAACAGTCTTGATGGATCATTTGATATGCTTTTATCTCGTTCTTCTTATCCTCTTTATGAAAAGTCTTTTTTAAAATAACACAAACTGTTATTTCTATGATGCATCTGGTTCTGTTGACGACCTCCAATACATACTTTTCTCTCTTAAAAATCTGGAGCCCTCTGCCCCTTCACCCCTCCTTTTCCTCTTACCCTCTTTCCAACTAATTAATTGCTGCCACATGTGTGTCTGGTAAGTAGTATGGAATCTGAGAGGCTTCAATAAACATTCGACGACATATAGCTTAGCATTTAGCCACTTAAATCGTTTCTAATTAGTCAAAAAAAAAACATATTTTTTTTATTTTCTCGCCCTGTTCCAAATGGAAAGTTTAAAACTCTTGCTCAAACTATTATATGGACTGCTAAAGCTTCTAGTTAAGTCAAGTTGTAAGCTTCAAATGGATGATTAGCCTTCTCATTAGAGTGACTGATGTCCTGATTAAGTCGATTATTTTATGTTGAGAATTGTTGGATTGAAATTAGCAAATGAGAGACAGATGAAGAGAAACACAGAAGATTAGAATGTTATGCTTTGTATGTTTCAACCCCTCTAATTGGCCTCTTTCTCGTACCAAACTTTGATTTGTATTTATTCCATTTTTTTGTTCATTTTCATTTCTTCTCCATCTCTACACACGTGATCTCCTTCTTGTGATCTTAACGGGGGTTTTCACGTAATTATCATGAGAATTCCACGTGAAACCACTTATTCATTTATTTTTTCTTTTCTTTTGCAAACGGTTGTTTGTTTTTTTTTCTTCGCTCTCTCAACCATTTTTCAAATGTAATATTTTCAGATGCCTTTTTGATGTCCCAGTCCGGTATTCAACAACCAATCTTCATGCCGTTCGAGGGCAATCTTCCAGGTTTGTCATAATTTATTTTATTTTTTACTTTTTTCCCTCTCATTCAAATATTTTTTGCTGGTAAAATTAAAATGAAAAGACATACAATAGATTCCAAACAGAAGAGTAATGTAATGGCCACACCCTGGTTACTGTCATTATTTGTATTTTTTTGAGTTGGAGTGAAGACGAAAAAAAAAGAGGAAAGAAAAAAAAAGAAAACATTGAAAGAAACATATAGTTAGAATAGAATATTTAATTTAAAAATAAAACTTTCTTTTTGTTTTTGTTTTTTTATTTTTTTCAAATTACTGCTCGTTTCTGCAGAGTCGGCCTCAACTTCTCCTCCAGCTGCAGATCCTACCGATCTTCTCCGTATGATTGCTGAAGCTAGTGCTCAGAACGGCTATGGAGGTACAATATAATATAATTAGCATATGAATATAATAATAAAACTATGTTAGGAGTTGATGACTTACCGAAGGCTACGCTAGAACGTCTTCTGAACTCGGCTAGTGGTGATTTAGAGGTTGCAGCTAGTATAGCTTCATCAACGAGCACGACTACAAGTCCTGAACAGTTTGCAAGTGAATATATAATATTTTGAATTTGTTAATTACAATTCATATTTGAAAGATCTTCATGTAAGCGCTTTTGGTTTGCCGACTGATTTTGCTCAATTCACTGATTTCGGAACTGTAGCCATGAGGTTTGATTTGAAAATAAGAGAAAATAATTGAAACAAAATGAAATTTGAAGGAATTCATCTAAAACATTGAAATGTCCGAAGTGTAATTGGCATTATAAATATCAAGAAACATTGGAAATTCATATGAAAGAAAAACATTCAGATTCCGATGTTTGTTCATTCCTTTTCAATCCTTTTAATATGAGTTTCCATTTATAGTTACAAGTTAAATGCGTTTATTGTGCTGAAAATCGTTCTCATCCCAAATTAGCTCGTGGTGAAACATATTCTTGTGGATATAAGCCTTATCGATGTGAATTATGTAAATATAGTACAACTACCAAAGGAAATTTAAGCATCCATATGCAATCCGATAAACATCTTCACGCCGTTCAGGACTTACCAACTAATATTGGTTAGTTTGATTTAGTTTATCTTAAAGATATGCAAAACTAATTCAAAATTCGGAAAAAGCAAGAAAAAGCACAACCGCTCTTTAGCATTGCAGTAGATCAAAATGAAACTATGAATTGCGCTGACTTCTTTCACGTGCGTTTGACGTTTATTGCGTGTCATGGATCTCAGAAATTTTGTTAAATTGCTAATTCACTGCAGCAATTGATGAATAATAGAAATGGATATGTGAAACTTTGTTTTTCAGCCAACTTATCATGCACACCATCATCCGTCTCATCAGCACCTGTAGTCGATAGTGATAAACTATTTATATGTATAGTATGCGGATGTTATTCAACTGATGATATCAATGAAGTCATTGGACATGTTGAAAAGGTTTTTTTTATTTCATTTTCATATTTCTCTACTCTTCTCTACTCCATTGCTAACTGTTGATTTTAAGGATCGTTCACGATCTTCCATGATAGACGTTTCTGTATCAAATGGTTTATTTCGTTGCCATTTATGTCCATATAGCACTAATCTCAAGGCTAATTTCCAATTACACACAAGGACTGACAAACACCTGCAACGTGTTCAGATGGTTAGTTCATTTTTTCAAATATCTTTTTATGTCCGCTTTTGTGTGGAATATATTTCTAATAAGAAACACGATGAGATCATAATGCTTTTGTTCAATTTTTTGATTTTTTTTCTCATTTCGTGTATAAGACTGGACTGGTTTAATAAGATTTGGGAGGGTTTAGTATATTAATCTTCTAAGTTCCCTCTAGCTTTTCTGTGCGTGCCTGTATGTGTACATGTGTGTGAGTCTATGTATGTGTGTACTATGAAATCAGTAGTTTTGATAGAAATATCATGACGTCATGTGATCATCTGGAAGATGAATGAATCATAGATGTATATGAGATTCAAGTTCACACCTCATCACTATGTTTCACTTTTTTTCTCTCTCCCTGTCCATTCTCCTTATTTGGAAAACATTTCTTGCACATATTATGTATACAATCTGGGCTTTTTGAACAAATGTTCGTAGAAATATTTCATCTTTATGATTTCATTATCCTGATTCATATGGATTGAATAGTTATGGTTTTCCTGAAAATCTGATACGATTTTTGTAATTTTTTTGCAAAAAAAAAACTGAAAAAAGGAATTTCTAGTTGTTGGTTTATTTTTGTGATTGGCCATAAAGGGAAATAATGATTATGATGAGCATGATGATGATGGTCCTCGTCGTTGTCGTCAGGTTGATTCTGAATGCTTATGATAATACATATTATTTGTTCAATGATCAAATAAACTGTTATCATTTGAGAATCAATTCCCTTTTTCTCATTTCAATTTTACTTCACTCATTGCTAAGTTCTTCCATACACCTTTTGATTCCTCTTTTTTCTCTCTTTGTATGCTCTCTTTCTCTTCTTATTTCGACTCCTCCACCCCTCTCACTCTCTTCAAATGGTATCTTCTTCGCCTGCGATTACGGTATTGACAAATAGTAATAAGGATATTAATAGGCAGTGCGCCAAACATAGCATAACACATCTCGTACTCTCTCTCTTGCCCCTCTCATGCGCTTCCAATGCTTCTCATCAGGATTGACCATATACGGAATATGATGGTCCGTTATGCACACAGCGTGACAAATTCATTTTCATGAGGTTTTCTGTCAACGAGCATAATCAATGCTTAAAATGGAGATGAAAGTTATGAGCAAGTTTTGTTTGTCTCCAAAGCTCAAGTGCTAATTCAAGTTTACCAAATGAGTAATAATCTGGTTGAGTGTGGATGAGCAAATTATTCCTTTTTTGGTCATAAATTCTACAAATATCATCAGAATAACTAGTCGGAAACTTTCACCTTTGCGACCTTGACCATATTATAATTTGAAAGGCTTTCCGTCCTCGACTTCTGGATGATAAATTGAGCAAATCTGCTCTTCATATTTGACTCATTTGCATATTCACTGAGTTAATGAGTCTGAAGTCCTTGATGATTTGTTGACGCAAAGCCTTTATGAACTAAAAAGTGTTGGGAAATCTAATAATCGCAAAACTTATTTGGAATTCTCTTATTTAAAATTTAATCATATGACTAGAAGATTCTCTCAATTGAAGTCAATTCAAAGCTTTGTACATCTGATGAAAAGCTGCTGATATTCGTAAATTTAAGTCATTTTGTTTATTTTATACAATGACTTTGCTTCTTAATTTTATTGGATGATGTGTAGGACGAAGTGAAGCGAGGGGGGGGGGGAGAGAAGGAAGGATAGGAAAAAATATTTTGTCAAACCTTAGCGTTTCTCATCCCAAATTCATATGAAAGGGAATCAATATGTGAATTATACTGCCTATTACAAGTTGAATTAGCGCAAACGCTGTGATTATTTTGTGATCCAGACTGCATTGAAATGAGATTCTGAAATTTTGGACAAAAAAAAATTGAAAAAAAAGAAAAAATTTTCTTTTTTTGTTTGGAAATATTTTTGGGATAGTTCAAACGGATTGACTTTCATTGTCATTTGGTTAATCTGTTCAGAATCTGATGCGGTTGATGAGAGAACGACAACACATCTGATCTGTCGGATTGTTGAAATGACGTTGATTATAGTATTCTGAATTCTTGATTATAGACGTTCAGTTTAATCCCCTTGACTTAGTTCATCCAAATGTTCTAGAAATGTTTATTCCACGTGTAAGCTCACATTAGAGTTCACGCGTTGTTTGATATATGCGCTCACGTTTGAACCTTCATGAAGCACGTGGAAAAGCTGCTCACGTGAAATTGTTTCACGTGAACTTTTCATGTCGCTTTTTTTCATTTTTTCTGTTGTTTTGATGATGAACGGTTGATTTATTCGTCAAAGCCTTAGCGATTTATTCATTTCGTACATATCTAGTCATATATGGCTCATCAATTGAAATTACCGTAATTGGACATTGCATTGAATGACCTAATATAAACTATTTTAACGATGTTATATTACGGTTAGAAAAAACTAGATTGTCAATTTGAAAAATAGTAATCTGCCGTCAAATAATTTCTGTTGATTGACTTTCCTTCTGTTTGACTAATTTCATGTAGTAAAGAATATTGTATAGTTGAAAATTCTTGGTATAATCAAGATGGATCATAGATTGATGGCAATACTATGAGCGATAAGCTTTTGTGCGAACTAATATGAAAGGTGACAATGGATTTTATAGAATAATGTTTCCCTCCATTTCTCCCTTCAAATTCAGCTCTGTATTCTTTTTCCTTTTCTCTCTCTCTCCTCCTTCCTATATATTCCTCTATCTATTGGAATCCCTTTCTGCCTTCTTCTTATTGTTTTGTCTTCTTCTTTCTCTTGACAGTTTTCTGTGTGGTAATAATTTCGCATAGTTATATTCATATTAATGTATGTATTTGTGCTGGACGTATAATGACACACACGATATGCTCATGATTATATGAGAGCACATGAAGGTATAAGGATGATGATTGTTGATGAGAAAGAGAGAAGGCAATGTGTTAAATCTAGAGAGTAAGATGGATAAAAGAGTGGGAAGGTAAAGAGGCGGTCGTTTAATTGTTTGCTCAAAATCTTAATCACACTCAATTATTCGCGGCAAACAGTCCAATAACACGACAGCCGACAAGAATAAAAAAGAGGCGAATATCATCTCTCTTACCAATGAGGGCAATGAGACGAAGCTTAAGCTGAACAGTTTTTCCTTTTTTGGTGAGAGGAAAAGAGAGAATGAGAGATAGAGACTATGCTCTTAAGAAAATGTATTTGCGAAAAACCTGAAATGTAGCTATAGAATTTCTCATATTCTATGCGTATTCATGAATCATCTTCGTAGGTAACGATAAGCCGATTTCGCATTTGAAAATCACCCATTTGTCCTTATTTTTCTTTTCTTTTGACCCATGTTTCTCATTTCCCTCCCTTTTCTATTTTGGCCCTTCATTTGGTCACACATGGATGAGAGCCAAAATTGGAAAAAGCAGACTGTAAGAAAAATAATAAAAAGCATGAATGATAGAACCGTAAAGAGAGATGAGTTGCTGGAACAGACGAGAAACAGTTCTGTTTGCTGAGCGCAAACTTGCCAAATCTTTCGTTTAGTGTGCCGCCTCATAGCGCATATTGGGATGAGTTTGTTTCAAGCCGAATAAGTTTGATGAAAAGTTGTGGCTCAATATCATGTTTGTATTTTATTGATTTCAATATTTGGCTGAGTGTTGATCAGTCGTCTGTTTCTCTCTATACAGCCTTGTTTTTCGGTATGACAAGCTGAACTGCATACTCAAAACAATATAATGATCGTCAGATTACTGTATGTGATGATCATGATGGTGATGATGATCATGATAGTTACAGTCAATCAAATGCTAATTTACCATCTTCTATTCATCAAATATTTTTGCTGTTCATTCAAACTTCTTCAAATCACTTCGCCTTTTCCATCATCCAAAACTGTCTGCGAATTATCTGTTTGTATTTGAAAGTTCTTCTCTTTTTTTCTTTCTGCCCACAACTCATATAAGTGGATGGGAGGGCAAAACAGCAGTGAAAATAGAGTGAAGGTAAAGTAGGGATAAGTGAACATTTATGAAATTGACTTGAGAGGTAAAGAAGGTAAGGGACGAATAATAAGTAACATAAGCCGACGGCATGACCATCATTATGCGATTTATTCATCGTCTCATCCGATTTGCAATGTCTCTTACTTTTCGAGGTCATCCGGCTTCTCATAGTCAATTCAATCTTCTCATCTCTACCTTTGCTTTTCTCCACCCTCAATTCATCTACCTGTCTATTTCTATGTCTATCTATGGACATTCTTTGTAAATCCTCGTTAGTTATACTGTTCATAGTTTAAAAAGTATGTTGGAGTATATGTGTATGATTAATCCATATTTCCATGCGTCCAATGTACTCTATTCAACTCTTTTATTTTATTGAAATTTCCCTAATATTCTTATTAATTAAAATTCACAAATTACAGTATTTTAATTCATTCGCTATTGTTATCAGTCGCAAGGGGGCGGGTCCAACTAATGAGTGGGCGACCAGACGCTTAGCTGATTGGTTGTTAGATTCTAAGCTCCGCCCACTTTCCAACTAGTTGTTCACGCTCGCGTTGATGATCATATCGAACAGCATTTGCTTTGCTTACCTTTCATTCATTTATTTTTATTTAAATTAAAACTAATTTATTTATTTAATTAATTAATTAAAATTGATTTAAACAACGGATAGTATGCAAAACTGAAGATGATGTGATTGTCGTAGACATTCAATTGTCTGGGTCAATTCTGAATATGCAAAGGCTCACCACATCCTCTAACCGAAATAGTTTTTATCAATCTTAATAGCTCTTAATCTATTTTTTTCTTTCCTCTCTTTAGCCGATTTGCTGTTGTTGAAAATCGTAAAGGCGTGAAGGTCCTCGCTTTTTAGAGAAACAAAATCTTCGGATAAAGTCCTTGATATGATTGAACTTTTATTTGAAGTTGAACAAAGTCGTATTTTTCCAATTTGAGTAATGTTTTGAGGAATTCATTTGGTTCAAACGCGCTTTTCCAACAATTAGCTCTCTATTTTTCTTTCTAAATTCTGAAGTAGTAACGGATGAGGAGTGCTGCTTCATCAAGTCTTGTACATCAATCTTGGAATTTGGATATTGTCTTTTATTTTCTGATACACACACATACACACACTCACTCTCTATCTCTCTATATATATCATTAGTTCTCTCCATTTTGTATTTTCTTCTATAGTTTCATAGCCAATGACGTTTTTAGACTCATCAGCAGCCCATTCTATCCGTTTGAACAATCTTTTGAATTCATTAATGAGCTTTAGACTATATGCTTGAACGTCTTAATAGTTCAGTTCATCATTACTTCTCATTCTTAATGATGTTTTATAAAATTATTTTATATATTGTCATATATAACTGCATTCGAAACATTCCTTCTCTACGTATTCTCATTTTCATAAAAATTTTTCACTCGAAAAATGCGTGAAATGAGATATGTTTGAAAGAAAAAAGCAATTGTTCCATTGAGAGAAAGGGACAGGATAAGTTATTGGAAGGGAGAGTCCGGATAGAACTGTGACAGTCAATGACAATGATTGCTTTATGCTAATACGATTATTTCGTAGACGATACTTTTAGAATGTATACCAGAATTTATTCATTCATTCATTTTCTCTCTCTCTCTCTCTCTTACTCTCTTTATAAACATTTTTCTCTTACAATCCTTCCCTCTTTAGCAGACACTCTCTCTCTCTCTCTCCTTACCTATTCATTCTCTCTATCTATATATAGAAAGGCTTTAAGGATAGTCATTTTCAACTCATTTTCCTATGTACATACTTTTTCGCTCATCATATTCTAATTTCACGTGTCACGTGAAACATAACGTCAATAAGATGAAGTATGAAAGTGAATATTGAAATGATGATGCATAGATCGGTTGTATGATTGATATATATATATATATATATATTTCCATTATCGCCATCCACATTGATTATTCAACAAAAGAATTGAAAGTTTGTTTTATTAAAATTAATTTGTAAAATAATTTAATCAATCCAGTTATGATAATACAAACGATTATTGTTCAATGAATGGCTATTGAAAACTTCAATAATCTCTGAATTTATTAAGCATTCCTATGATTCATTTCATGGATTGATGAGAATTGATTTAACATCTTTCCGCCTTTATTAGTCAACAACGACAGTCAATTGCTGTAAAAGGCTATTTCTCACAGAACACATATTACATAAATGGTAATATAAGCTATTAACACGTGGATATCATGATCATCATGATCATCATCATGATGTTACTGATTGTCATTGTAGCTCTCTATCATGATAACAATTCAGCTTTTGAAACTCTTGCAGACATGATTCTACAATCAACTGATGATTGTTACAAGAGACAGAGAGAGACAGAGAGACAGAGAGAGAGAGAGAGAGAGAGAGAGAGAGAGAGAGAGACAGAGAGAGAGAGAGAGATACATCTCTCCTCTTTTCCAACATCCTCATCTTCGTCTAGACACAAATCATTTTGAAACTTCTTTGATTGTCATTTCGTTTTGTTTTGATTGTATCATTTTGATTCGCACCATCAATCTCTAATTGCTTAAAAATATTCAGATTTTTGAACTTTTCTACTCTCCTTCTGCATGCTGAAAGACCCTATGATTGTTTCCTTTTTCTTCTTTTTTTTTTGATTTTTCCATTTTTGACATCAAAATGACCAACAGCCAACAAAGTCATCCTTTTGAATTGTATGACGGTAGAAATCCATTGATGATCGTCAGAATCAACCTATAATCCATCCGGTCTTCTCTACTTCTCTCTCTTTCTATATATTTCTTCAAAATATTTTAAACTTCTCATCTCATCAGAGAATATGATTTTCAACTTTCTGCAATTTTTCCTTTTTTTTTTTTTTAATTTTTTCCATCTTTGCCATTTCATTGCAATACAAATAAGGGGGTCATAAATGTATTTTTTTTTATTGAAAATAATAATTTCGAATTGATAGAAAAACAATTTTTTTTTTATTTTTCTGTACGGGACTTTCACAAATCATTCTATTTAACACAAAAAAAGAGAAGAAGAAAAAAAAAAAAAAACAATTTATGAATGTGTTTGTATTTTCAGATCAATCATATACGTGAAGGATCTCCAGCCAATAGCGCTCATTGTCGATTAGCAAGCACAAAGAGCATCTTTCAAGTTCTCTGTCGACCCTGTCAAGAAGTTCTTTCCAGGTATTTTCATATACAGTCAGTTATCATTATCATAATATCATAGTGGACAAGCTTTACGGGATCATTGCGACACAATTCTTCATCGAACGAATTCTCGTCAGCCATTGACTCTCTTCCGATGCCAATTGTGCTCGTTTGAGACTCAAAGTAAATCAGAGGCTATAGGTTAGTCTATTTAACCATAATTTCTTTTTTTGCCATTCAAAATTTCAACTTTTTTCAACTTTCTCATCTTCATTTCCACCAGGCCTTGGTCATAATTACATATTTCTTTTAAATGCGATTAATAACATTATGAAGATGATTAGCGACCTTGGGTGAATAATGATGCGCCAACAGCTCAATCGTCCTCTTCTTCAACTCTTTCTTTCACCTTCTTTCTCATCTATTTCCCTTTTAAAGTATATGGAGTCTTTTATTTCTGTCTCCACTTAAGCATCCAGTGTTTCTCCCCCATTGAGTTTCTCGAACAGACAGACGGTTTCGTCGTCTCCATTTTCTTCCTCATTCATTTTCTTCATCGTCATCCTCTTCTTCTCAGTTTTTTTTCTTCTTTAAATTATCATGCTAATTAGGATGTACACTCTATTCATTCCCATATCCATTTTCTGTTCTATTTAACCTACCTTCTACAGTCTCTCATTTACGGCTTTTTGATCCTAATTACCTTGGATGAGTTTCTCGTAGCAATCTGGCCTTCTTTCACATCTACAATCCGCATTGTCTTTGTTTGAGGAAAATGTCAGCCAAAATAAGAAATTTAATGCCAATTGCCCTGTTAGAATTCTTGTGCTATTCAATCTTCAATTATCGTTCACGATTCATGATTTTAGAAGAAGAAGAAGAAGAAGTTCCATTTGGTTTTCTTCAAATTCTCAATTTTTGTCTATTTTAAGTGAAAAATAGAGAATTGGAAGAAAAACTATAAAAAAAGATTTATATCATATGTAACTCATTTGACTCTATTCCCATGTGAGACGTGTGAACAAGTCAAAGTTCACGCACTTCACGTGAACATCGTTCATTTGAAACATCACGTAATGCATATATGGAGATGTGACACACCCCCACATGATCAACACGTTTCTTCTGTTGTGCGTGTAGATATAGTTACTACTTCCATATATGTTCATTGTCTATATATGTGAATATAACTGAACAGTTGTACATATATAGATATATATATATTTTGGCGTCTCCATCTTTATCAGATCATTTGTTTTATTTTCTCTTTGACGACGAGAAAAAAATTGAGAAAATTTGTGAAAAATAGAAATTTTGGAGAAAGAAACTAGAAGATGTTGATGATACAAACCCTCAAATTAGACGATTGATATTCAATTAACAAACGAAATTTATTACATTAATCGTCTGGTTGTTTTCTCAGTTTTAGTTTGCATAAATTGATATATTCAATCACTAACTATTAGCTGCTTCTTTTTTTTTGTTTTTGTATTAATTCTACTTCTCCTATCTCTCTCTCTCTCTATCTTTCCCTCTCTCTTCGTATTCCATCTTCTTCTTACTTGCTCTTCCTTTATCCTCATCTTTGCCATCGTCGTCCTCGTTCTCATCGTCGTCGACTGCTACTTCTTCTTCTGCTTCCTTCATTCTTCGCATCGTCGACATATCATTCTTCTCGTCCTCATGCTCCTGCTTTTTTTGACGTTGACGCCACCGTCGTCGCCGACGTCGACTGCTCATTCTTCTCCTTCTGCATTCTTCTTAAAAGAGATATGCCGAAGGCGTTCATACTCCGGGTGGCCATGTAAATTCAAAAGGCAAACAGCAACACAGACAAACTTTTAGTTTTATTGCCCAGCTGGGAATATTTTCATATTTTTAAGCTCCTTCACTTTCATTTTTTTTTCTTTCTCTGAATATTATATCATCGTCTGACAATCTGATTTTATTTGAAATTTAGTCATGTCGTTTTCATAGATTTTGTGTTTCTCTTCGTCTGCTCTTTAACTTTATTCTTATTTTGTTGGCAAGCTCATTCAACTTCTATTTCATTTCTTCTTATCGAAGGCATTTTGTCATTCAACTTCTTCATCTTCATTCTCTCTCTCTCTCTCTCTTTCCTTTCCTCTCTCTCTCTATTCTTCCCTTTTTACATATTTTTGACATCCACATCACTTCATCAAAACGTTTTTATCTTTTATTATATGCCTGAAAATCCATTAATGTATTGTCAATCCATGGCTCCAACCTTCCTCTACCATCATTGACCGTAAATCGCCTGAAGCGCTTTTTATGTTTTCTGTTTTGTACACCCGCAGAACATTATATTGATATTGATGATTGTTCATGGTTAATGTTTATTAATTTATACTTAACTATATGCAGACAGCCGTATAAGGCCGTTCAATCCCACAAAAAATGAAAATCCTGTCAATCTGTGCTACTCTCTCTATGACCACAAGAAGAGAACGCTTTCATCTAACCTCTTCGTCATCGCTGTTTGATGTCATTTCGTGACATTTTTCTTCATATTACTCGCAGATTCTTCTTCCTTTTGAAAAATGTTGAAACAAATCTCTCTCCTTTTCTCCTCTTTCTCTCTCTCTCTCTGTCCCTCCATCTCTCTCTTCTGTTTTTATTCCAAAATAATGCTTTGCTTTCATGTTAAGATTATTGTTTACAGGACACATGACCTGCCACGAGCCTGCAACTTGGCCGAAAGAATCAGTATTAGGTACGTTCCTTGTTTATTTTTATTTCATTCATTGTTGTTGTTGTTGTTGAGAACAGTTCTTAGTAACTACTACAGTCCATCAGATCTGATTTCAGCAGTCTGATTTTGATAGATTGTCTGCCCTTCAAATTATTGTCGGCCTCTTGTTTTCTATAGTTTATTCTATCTAAATTAGACTAATTTAAATGCCCAATAACCTTCTCGGCTTGACCATGACGTCTGATTTTCGAAACAAAAAACGCGACTTTTTTTGGGTTGTATGTCTAAGATAGACTTCATTTGAAATTATTTTAGTTGTCTTTGTAGGAATATTCAGTTGTCACTCATCTCTTCCTTTTTCCCTCTCATCTTCCCTCCCTGCCTTCTCTATTGACCGACTGCATACAGTTTTTTATTCGTGAAGCTTTTCCTTAAATGGATTAAAGCAAAAAAAGATTCTTTTTGTGTGAAGCAACAAAAAAAATACGAAATGACTGATAGAATGCAAATGAAATATGGGAGGGTCAGAAGACAATCGAAATTAGTGAAATGGATAGGCTTTTTAAGCAGGCGGTTGGGGCTTCTAGCTCTTGAGATGAAGAGGACACCAGAAGTCTCAGAGGCCCAATATGACGAATCGGCTTCATACGTCCTAATTTTACTATTCACGTCTATCTTCTCTTTCTCATTTATCTGTCGGCTTTAAGAGCAGTAACAAAAATGATTTACAACATACTTCTAATAGAAATAACAAAACTTTTGGGAAAGGATTACGGTAATGATAAGGATAAGAATAGTTTGTAGTTGACGAAACAAACAGTTTGAATGGTTCTGACTGACGACAGGATATATGATTTGCTTGTTCATCGAACTTTTCTCGAATTTGATGGGTCTGAAAGAATAGAAATGAGGAGAAGAGGCACGAGAGGGCTAGGTGACCTTCAGTTACTTCCCTCTGAGAAGTGTTGGAGACCAAGAAGTAGACGATACGCTGATCAACTTCCTCATTACTCATTCAGAAGATATAAACATTTTTTATTCTCTTTTCTCCCATTCTTTCCACATAAGCTTCAAATCGAACGATGAGACATCTGAGATTTCGTATTTGAAGCTTTAGAAGACAAAGATTTTTTAATTCTCTCATGCATTCATCCGGCTGGTATCTTTCGTCTGTCCGTCCCAATTGAGACTGTCATTGTCTATTGTTGCCAAATAAGGTAACAACCGGCACGAGTCCATGTGTAGTCGTCCTCGTCTTCTTCTTCTTCTTCATTTTCTTTATTCATTCTCTCCAATCTACTTCTCTCTTCATCTATTCTCATTTACTGTCCAAATTGACCTGTCATCTGAATTTTCTGTATTCTCATGAAGGATATTAAGGCACTTGATTAGTCAAATTCGCGAAAATTTTGCATTCCCTTTCTTGTTTTTCTAATTTACCTTCGCTTTTCCATCTCCTCACTCCTATGTGAAATTGAATTTCTGCAGCAATGCCCTCCGAGCTTATTATCGTATCGTCTGTCATTCATCTGATGTCGAATATGCTTACAAACCTCAGCATTAAGCTGGAAGTTATGGAAGATGCATTAACAGACATATGCAATTTTGAAGTTAAATAACCAATAGTTTGAAGATCTTTATATCTTTCTCTCTCTTCCTTCCAATTATTCCTTATCTGGATATGTTGGATGAGAATACCCTGAGGCATCATCCACGAGTCAACTGGCCTCATCGTCCTCGCCGTCTTCAACTGAGTCTGCAAGTCAGCTTATCCTGATCTTCTGATGCTTTTTCGGTCTTTTTCCCTGTTTCTCCAATTTTGGCATGTTATATTCGTCAGTTACATGCTCTTCCATTGCTCCCTCTTTAAGCTTGATATCTCCGGAGGCCATCTGCCAATCCCTGACGACGACAGCATAATTAGCAAAAGCTGAGCCGCCAAACTAGACATCAGTTCTTCTGACTTCCGACTTCATTTTTCGATCAGACTGACTTGATTAGTCTTAACGTTGTATCCTGATTGCAGAGTATTTAAGAAATTTAATAGAAGGCTACATGACGCCAACTCCGATTGTTTCATTGATGTGAGGTATGTGAGTCGGCTTCGACTGCCTTCTCTATTCACTCTCTCAATTCCTCTCTGTTTTTCTCTCTCAACCTCCTTTTCTCTCATATTTTACCTCAAAAGCATTTTCTCTCAGTTTCCCTCATATTAGTCTATCTCGTAGTCTTCATTTTCTCGTTTCTGTTGAAAATGGAGTTTCAATTTCTCAACCCACATTACTTACCCCCACAGTGTGTTTGCTCTCCCACCCAGAGGGGGGTATCGTTTTCCATTCAGCCTTTCTTTCCAGTCACCAATCATATTCATTTGTCGATGTATTGATCGATTACACGTGATCCTTTTTGCTAATTGAAATTTTTTCTGTAGTTTTATTAACCTTCGCCCACCTAATTACGGTAATTAATTAGCGCGCCTACCGTAACCCAAGACAAACAAGATGTCACTTCCGATGAGCTTTTTTGTTGTAACAAAAAAGAACTATCAATAGTATTTGAAGCTAATTATCCCTCTGACATTCATTTTTCCTTGTGAATCATTTGAAAGTTTCATTTCAAAATATTCTACAACGAATTTAACAGAGAAAGAGAGCATGAGATGCAATAGACAAAAGGAAAAGTCAACAGATCGTTGTCCTCCTTGTCCTTCTCGCCATCTTCTCATCCGATCTTGTCCGTTTGCTTCATTCAAAAAATTTTATTCAATTAAATCTTTGATTTGACAACATTTTGATATCCGTTAGTTTGCGAAATACGACTGAGGACTAGGGGTACGAAATGTAATTTTCTATTTCATTTACACTAGCTTACACGTGTTCACGTAACATCACGTAATAACACGTGAGTATTTCATTTATTAAAAAATTTCCGCATTGAACGGTCGTATCTCGCCATCATTTTTCCTTTTCCTTTTTTTTTTCGTTTGGAAACCTAAATACTTTCATAGTATTTCTTCTTCTTTTTCTCTCACTTTTCATTTTCTATTCATTCATTTACCATTCTTCTACCTCATTTGATCAAATGAAACCTGCTGAGCACGAAGCGATGTTTACTAACTGTTGTATGAGCCAAGCCAATTGAACTGTGCTGTTCAGGTTTCAGACAATTATTGCAAAACTCTTCAGTCTTTCATGATTTCTCAGTTCATTTGATCCAGATTGCAATTGAGAATCTTTTGTTTGTCATATTTATTCTCCTTTTTTTGTCTTTTTTCTCTTTTTTTTGCTGTTCCGTTGACAACGCCTACAATCATCCAAATACGTCATGACTCGATCATGTATCGTTTTGTCTTATTTCAGTTCAAAGTTAGCTCTCTCTCTCTCTCTCTCTCTATCTCTTTGTGTGTTTTTTAACTTATATTTATCATAAGCTTCATCATCAATGCTTCTCAACTCAAGAATACTGAACATTTCGAATACACGAAGCTGTTAGTATTTGATTAGAAAATCTAGTCGGCAGTTAGCAGAAGCTTTAATTGAAGCTTCTTGATGGCTTCCAAGCTATAGAGAGAAGACGAAGATGTTAGCCCTGTTTAGGGATATGGGCAACGCTTGTATCAAACCAACTACATGGATTGTTGTGTTCTAGAATATTTTTCATTCTTTTATAATTTTCTTTCTATCATCCTTGTGCATGAAAGCTGATAATCTTAAAAAGAATAAATTGAAGAGGAATTTCTTCAATTGTCACAACAAGATCTTTCTATGATTGCTTATCACTTATTAATGAAAGTTTTAAAAAAGCTTTATTTTAGTTAATCAAAAGAATTTTGATGTTTTGGCAATTCACAAATCACAGCTTATCCTCAGTCAAATCTTTTTAGCTAATTGATTGTTAAGCTCAAAGGTCTGTAATTCTGATCAGATTCAAATTCTATTTCATCTCATCCTCATTTACATATACTACTACTGAATGTGTAAAAAATATTTTTATTGTTTCAATTATATATATATATTAATATATATATATATATATATCTTCATTGATATTACTTTATATATCATATAGACACATACAACCAGATGACATACCAAACTTCGACTTGTATTTGAATTAGAAGCTCTAACTGCCCAATTTAAGCTTCGTTAGAAAGTTGTGCTAAGCCAATAAGTTTGTGTGGTATGTTTAGCTGAGAATAAAGAACTCACAAAGATAGAGGGACTGATTAGAATGCTGTGGTGGTGGTGTTGTCAATTTCTTTTTTTTTTTATTTTGTTCAACTCAGCTACTCACTTCTTGTCCGACTTCCTGTGCTATCGCACTTTCTCCTCACACATGTCTCATTCACTCATCTATCTACTTTCACTTCTCAAATTATAATTAACCCACTCAATTACAAAAGAGAAAAAAAAAACGAGGAAAAAGAAATAAAAGAACTTCTCTTTTGCACAGTTTTTTCCCTCTCAATGTCCTTCTCGCCTTCGGGGCTTGTATTGTTACCGTAATCTCAGTGTTTGTTTTCTTCACCTTTACACCATCAATCGGGCATCTTTTCTCTTTATTTCATTCGTTTTTTCCTCTTCCACTCGGCTATACTCTCTATCTCTCTCTCTCATACTCTTTCACTCTCTCTCTCTCTCTCTTCTTGTCTCTCTATCTATCTCTTTCTCTTTATGCTTTTGAATCTTTTCATTCTGTTAGTTATAGTTATTACTTCATTACATCTCCAATAACTCTTTCAACTTCCGAATAACTGAATGTTCTTTCAGTTTTTTTTTTTGCTCAAAAATTTTGTTGAAGCCACGCCTCCATCAACTTTCTCTTAACAGTCGTCGGAAATGGTTTTCTTCCCATTTTCTTAAATTTATAATCGTTTTGTACACAAATTTTTCTTGCTACGATTAGAGAAGAAAAAGGATATTTCATGTGTTTGTTCACATTCAAACAACTTGTCCTCTGATTTTCTTTTTTTACGACCATCATTTAATGATGATCATTCAATCTTCCTCAATCTATACTTTTGATGATTACAAGAATACTTTCGTCTTGGTCGTCTTATTCTTCTTCATCTCATTCTTGCTTTTGGCTTTTTGCCCTTTAAAAGTCAATATTCATATATGATCATTAACGTCATGATGGAACAAAACGGATGTTTCACAACGGCTTCTTCAATCTTCACATTCTCACAACAATTAGTTTCCCCAGAGAATAAGGGTGGGATGCAATAGAAGAAGACTATTTTTTACTCAAATAATCAAGAGAGTTTTAGAGAAACTCTTTGTCAGTTTTACTGTATGACAGTCATCATTAGCCTTTTACTTCAAGCTCTCTCTCTTCCTCCCTCTCTTACTCTCTCTCTTACTCTCTCTCTCTCTCTCTCTCTCTGTTTCACATTCATTATTCTCTTGTACTCTTCCACCATGACTATCTCTCTTATACTCTCTCTCTATTTCCTCTCTCTTCCTATCATTTTCAAATTTTGCAATTATTAAGTTGACTATTACCTTCTGTGCCTGTATGACTGCCATCATTGCCATCCTGTTTTCCTGGCAAGAAGACAACAATCCACTCACCGTATTATTACATTATTTGAACTTGTTCTCAACTATAATTATAAATTCTCACCTCAATTATTTTTTATTAATTAATCAATCATTTCAGATTTCAATGCTCTAGATATGGAAGAGGATGCCGCCTATGCTTGTGCTAGCTGCGGTTTTACAGCAAGTAAGTTCTACTAGACTTTCCAAGGCTTTTATCAGTCTTCATTTTTTTTCCTCTCCTCATTTTCGTTTTTCCCCCTCTCCCTCATTCGTCTATCTTCACTGGAATCACACTGTATTCTCTTCATGTCCTTATTTGCTTTCTTTTTACGAAAATAATTTTTGAATTTTAACGATTCATTCCATCAACACACCTTTCACCCTTTTACGGCTTCAATCTCTCTCTTCTTCCTTTTTTTGCAAAAAACAACAATTTTTTTGTGTAAAAGTGAGATGCTTCATCTACCGTAGTGATGAAAAGCATACTGTTTGTCAGCTAGGTCCTGCACGGATTGTTGACTTTTCCGGTCTCAACCATGATTGTCATCATCATCATCACCCTCATCATCATCATTTTATATATTTAGAAGGACATTATATGCTGAAAGACTATTTTATTTTGAGAGAAAAGAACAAAAGATAAAAGGTGAATGACAGATTATGAGAAAGATGAGACTCGTCTGCCATGTTTGGAAATAGAAGGCGAAAAGGAAAAAGTAAGAACGAATAGGTTAAATGTATCTTCTATTCATATTGCAACATAAGCAACAATCTTATAAACCTCCTTTGCTGTCTCTCTCTCTCCCACTATCTACTTCTCCTTAGTTTTGAGACGATAAAGCTTAAAAGCGACATGACTGTTATACTTTGCCTCACGGGGGCTCTTGTCAATCACACACACAAAAAACAGCAGTGAAGAAGTCATCTCCTAGAATTACGATGATTGTTTTCCTTCATTGTCTAATCGAATTGTTTTTTTTTCTGATAATTTCTTCCCCCCGGTTCTCACAGTCATCTCACATTGAGCATCGTTCATCTGGTAATTCATTATTATATCTCTCCCACACTATGGTCACTGCATACACACATATACACACACACATACAGACATCTTCTAAATGATTTCATAAGTCCTTTTGACTTTTCCCCTTTCTCCCTCCATTCCTCTCCCTATCTCTCTCTCTCTTACTCTTCTTTCTTCATTTTACAATATTTTTGACGTTTTTCAATGTTTATGGGAAGAGGAAAAAATAGAAATTTTTTTCCTCCAACGCCTAAATTGGCAAGATCGCCAGGAATCTTGCAAGCCAAGATTTCAAAGCTGGTCGTCATTCCGTGACAAAGATAAACGACCCTGTTAGCTGGAGAGGCGCTAATTAATGAGGAACTAGGGAATTGTGCCCTTAGGCAATTTGTTCGTTAAGGCTTGAATTGTCTTGTCTTAAATTGCTGATATTGCTCTTTCTTTTGTTTTTTCTCTATTGCTTCAAGAATCAACTGTGTTCGAATATGAACATGCAAATTGAATATGAAGTTCAACATTTTGGCTGTGCAAATCATGTTGATAGCCGCTGCTTTTGCTCTTCATCCTGTTCATCTCTCCCTCAATCTCCCTTCTCCCTTTCTCTATCTCTCTCTCTCTCTTCATCTTCATGCTCATCCAGAAGATTTATGAATTGTAGAGATAAGGAAAAGGAAATACTTTGTATCATGAAATGAAGAAAATAAAAAGTAGAAGAAGAATATAAGGTTATTTCCTCATCCCCGATGCCCGACCCTCTTCTTCCTTTCTCGGTTGAATATGAGGCCGTAGTGTCACCGCAACTGGTTTCACCGTCAATCGTAAACTGGAATTTCTATTTGAAAATAATTATTTTCGCTCATTAATTTGGTTCTCTTCACAACCTATGATGACTAGTGATGGCCTTACCTCAGTCTTTTCCCATATGTTTCATATAATTTGTGATTTCGACCCATGTCCGCCAGAATAATTTTTGCCATTATTTTTCTCATACAACTTGAGGCTGTAAAGCAATTCATGTGGTTATGGTCTCTTCATGAATAACCATCATCTGTTTACTTATTCAATCTATGTTTTCATCATCTATATGCTTTTCTATATGATTCTCACAAACTCATTCAATGCTCATTTCACGTAGAATTCACGTGAAATATGTAATGAGCTAACAAATCATTCTATCATCATACGGAGCACAGAGCGGTTGTTCATAGCTTGATGTTTGAGAATGATTCGCATATTCAACTTCTTTCTACATTATATTGATGGAAGAAGAAGAATAAGTGCACGTATGTGTGAGGTCTTATTGCCTTGCAATTCTCGAAAAGCCATCAATCGAATAGAGCTTTTGTGATGGAATCGAAAACTCACAAGTAGTCGTCAATCGTTGGTGGTCCAGATGTCTGACGGAATGTACATTAGACGTCAGCAATAGAGTATAGAGAGCAGAATATTGAGATGAACATTTAGCTGAAGACAGAAGGCGAACGATTGGAAAAAAAGTGATGAGGTTGAAGTGGTTGAAAGGTCCGCTAGTTGATGAGCTCATTTGATGAAAGTTTTTGTTAAGAAAAAGCTCATCGTCGGCATCTTCTTTCAAACACATAGACACTCATACCACACAGACTCCAATAGATTCTCCGTTAACCATACCAGCTGACAAACATTTCAATCAGTTGTCATTTAATTTTTTTTTGTCTGTATGTTCTCTCTCTCTCTTTCTCTCTCTCTCTATGCCATACTCATATTGAAATTGACAAGAAAAGAATAGAGAAAACATCTGAAAGCTGTAATATACTCAAAATGACAAGATTGAAGAAGGAAATTTACAAAAATGCTTTTCATTCATTCATTCATTCATCTCTATCTATCTATCGCTGACTACAAACAGATGATGATGACATAGGAAGTTCAATATGGATATGAGAAGAACAGATATTATAAATTACATCATTTAATTATACAAGTTTTAATAGCTCTTTAACTCATAAGTTAAAAAGACTAATTGTCTCTCTTTTGTAATTAAAAAGCATCATTTAGATTCTCAGTTCACTTCTTATCGTTCTTCTTTCACCTGTGTTCCTTATCACATCTATACCCCCTTTTTCATCTTAGCCGACGTTATTATGTCTGAATTTACATCTTCACACATCTTCAACGTCTTCATTACTTTTTCTCTCTCTATCTTACTCTCTGTATACATATCTATATATATTTCCCTGCTTATTTCTCTCTTTATAACTATCTCTCCTTCTCTCTTTCTCTCTCTCTCTTCATCTCTCTTTTTCTTTTTCTTTTTTCATCTACCAAGAAATGATCTTCCTGCTCACCTTCTTTCATATCAATCTTTTTTTAAACTCTTCATTACCATAACAGTCGGCTTCTCTTTCATTATTTTAGTCACACGCTCTTACTGTTTTTTTATTTTTCATTTGCCAATTAATATGCTGATTATGCATTTTCTCAGCAGTTACGATCTGGTCATTCAATGAAATATCTTTAATGAGTAAATTAATCGATCAAATCTGAATTCTATTGATGTTCTTTATGTACCCTTCAACCCACTCACTCATTACTTCTACCTCTCTTTCTGCCTATTTCTCTATACAACAATGCTTTCCTCCTGACTATGTCAAACGATTAGCCATAATCATATTAATTTGTTTTATTTTTCAGAAGAAGCTTCGACACTTGAAGAACACGCCAAAACACACGAAGAAGGCGAGCTCTGTCCCTTATGCAACGAGCGTACAAGCATCTTAACGGATCATCTGATTCAAGAACACAAAATTGCCGAATCTGCTGTGGACAAGCTTTTGCAAGTCCATCAAACGGACTCGGCTAATTCACCATCAGCATTTACCTATCGCTGCTCCAATTGTAATATGGCATTCAAGAGTGAAGCATCATTACAATCACATGCAATCATTCATTTATTCCAACTTAGTTATAAATGTCCAGTTTGTCCAACAGTCTGTGATAATGCTCAAGAATTAAAGGTAATTCATCTTTTCCTCTAACTTCCTTCCTTAATTCATCAATTTCAGAATCATACTGATACTAAGCATGGACGTTCGGATGAATCTGATGAAATTTCATGTGATTTATGTCAAGAGACCTTCCCTAATCAGACAGCTCTTGTGGCTCACTTCAATTCTGTTTCACATTTGCATAAAGCTAAAAAGCAATTGGAACAAGGATCGGTGGATTTAAGTGCTCAGGTAAGCATCATTTATTTCTCTTTTCTCCTCCCTCTCTTTCTCTCTCTCTCTGTCTGTTCATTCCAAAATTGGAAATTGAAAAGCTGCACTCTCTTCTCTCTTTGCCTGAAAGTTCGTTATAATTTTCTAATATTAGCATATTCGGTTGACGTGGATATCCACGTGAGAGCAGCAAGCTTTTCAATTTTTCATTTTGAAGCTGTAGTTGGTCGGGTGAACGGTTGAGGTTTTTTTTTAAACTTTCACTTGTTCCATCTTTCTACGTTTATCTCTCAGTCTCTGTTTCTCAGAAAGTTAGCAAGAGTTTTTAGCTTCCCACCTCTTTGGATGAGTATGTGTTATTCTAATCTCTCTCTTTATATGTATTCCAGAAGCCCTGTTATTATGTTCGCTCCTCTCCTTAGCAATTACGAGATTTGTCGTCCTTCTGACTTAATTAAGCGTCTCTTTGAAGACATCTTAATTGCCTGAGGCAATTTGCAAATCGCCTTCGGCGTTTCACGCGTTGTCTTTTTCTTTTTTCCAAGCTGACTCCACTTACTTCAGTAGATAGATATTGGCTGACAAAAAATATTATTAATTATATGATTGACTTGAAAGATATTTGACATTTTGGCATTTTCATTTCAAAAATCATATAAATTAGTATTTTGATTGTGAGCTTTCCATATTGAAATCGGCGTCCTTTTACATTTCGCCTAGCCAGCCGTCGTCAGTTGAGTCATCTGGTTGTGAATGGTTAAAACCTGTACATGAGACTCTATAGCCCTATGGCTATTCGTTTAACCTTTTCTTCCCTCCTTTTCCCTCTCTGTCTGGTATCGACTCATCTCTTTTATTCTCCCTCTCTCTCTCTTTCTCTCTCTCTATCTATCTCTCTCTCCCTGTCTACTGTTTCCAGCGGCTTCTTTTTGCTTTTGTTATTCTGATTGTAATTCCTCAATCACCTTACATTAGAACCAGTTTAATTATTTAACTTTTCTTTCTCTAATTTCATAAATTATTTTTATAATAATTAAGGAGTGAGGAATGAGAGGAAGAAAGAGGAAACTGGTCGTTGTTGATGACATTGATCCAAATCCAATTTGTTTTCTAAATATTTACTCAACTTTTTTTTAAAAATTATATTATGTTTTTTATATATATACATTATGAAAATTAATGTTTAACTAATTAATTGATTTATTTGGTTTACAGGTTCTTGCCTCTCTGAACGCTCCCTCCAGTCCGGGATCTGAACGTAAACCATACAAGTGCAACGTGTGTCGAATCAGCTACGGTCAAGGAGCCACATTGGACATTCATTTAAGGTGGGCTTTCTTGATTCATTTTCAGTCTGTTTGTCTTCTTCTCAAAACTTTTTTTTTTTTTGAAATTTTAAAAAAAGAAAAAAAAAATATTGTTGTCCTGAAAACTAATTTCGTCGTCATGTTGAGGCTGATCGTTTAGCATAAAAAGGCCCTTCTAATGTTTCTTTTTCTTTCAATTTTTTGTCATCTATCTACCTTTCGCTCTTTCTTCCATTCTCTCCCTCTCTCTCTCTCTCTCTTGATATATGTTTCTTACTATCTCTTAAAGGAAGAGATGATGTATAATCAGTGTAAAAGACAAATAAATGGTTACATGTCACCAGCCTGTCCTCTTTGTGTCTCCATCTTCCGCCACCTTTTTCGCACCTTTTTCGTCTGCGACCTCTCACCTCTCTTATACAAAATTTTCCTTTTTTCAACCTTTTTTTTTTCATAACGTTCTTTACTCTTTACATAAATTTCTCGATAGTTATGATGATCATTTTGCTGTACTGTTTTATAATTTTTTCATCTTTTTTATTTCATTTTGAAACAAAACGACGGAAAGGAACCATTTAAGGGCAATCCTTTCCATGCTCCTCCTCACATGAACGACAAATAATTTGAAACAGAAATAAAAATGAAAAAATTGTATTTTTTCGCTTTGATTTTTAGCTCACTATGAGAGATTTTGATTGAGATTCACTTGTTGCAGATCTGTTGCTCATCAGTCTCGTATGGGAAAATTGTCGGAATTAGTTGCTTCTGGAGAAGTAGATTGTCTGAAGCCTGTACTTGAACAACCTGGACTTCCTATCCAAAAACTTATAAAAGATGTGATCAGCAAAGATGATATTGAGGTTAGTTTATTTATTTTATTTTAAAGATCATGTGAGAGAAAGAAGAAATGATTCCAATGACTAAGGTCGCTAGATGTGTTGCTATTCGAAAAATATCATTTTTACATGTTTATATACTAAAAAGGCTGTTGTTTAGAAATATCTTGATTGAATAATCAATTTCCCATGCATATAGAGAGAGAGAAAGAGAGAGGGAGGGGAGAAGAGGATGGATGGGAAGGTGACAAAACCGAATAAAGAGAAGGAAGGGTAGTAGAGAGGTAATAAGAGAAAGAGAGAGGATTAGAGATTTAGATTGCTTCTTAGGTTAAATGATCTTCTCAATAGAAGATGACTCATTAGAAATCCTAACAAAGAAAAAAAAATAACAAAATGATTAACTTTCCCGTGGTACAGAAGAAGAGGTAATGGAGTTTTCTCAGTCTGACTCACACCCATGATCGTATTGTTGTTTGTGGATTGATGATGATTAGAATTATAGCATATGAAAGAGGATGGAGGGATTTATCGTTTAAATTCTCTCTATATTCAAACCGTACAAGAGAAGTGAAGAGAGAGAGAGAGAGTTGGTCACTACGAGAAAAAGAAACAGATGAAATGATATGTAGTATGATATGGAGATAGATCCCACATCTAAGAAGCTTATGCCAAGTTGATAGGATAAGAAGAGAGGGTGGCCATGTTTGAAACCTTTGGAATTTAATCTTTTTTTTTCTCATATCTTTTCCCTCATTATCTTCTTGATCGTCGTTGTGGTCGTCTTTTGAAAAATCTCAAAATGATGTTAACCATCCATCCATTCACTATATTATCTTCATTTTCCCACTTTTTTTTTCGTTATATTTCCTCAATAATCTTGTAAGATAATGGCTTTTTCTGTATTTGTGCCAATTTTGAGAGCATATTATGCCAATATTCTTAATTAAAACCTTTCAAAATGGAATGAAAAAGCATAAATTGATCCTCTCTCATATACCTTCTAGGCTTCATAACAACTCCTCTCAATATAATATGGTCAAGAATGGATATGATAGATAGATAGATATAGAGAGAGAGAAATAGAGAGTGAGGAAAGGAAATAGAAATGAAGCTCAATGATAGAAACATATATGTCGATAGAGATATAGAGAGAAAACAATATAAAGCTAAATATGTTAAGAGGTATAAAGAGAGAGTAGGTATGAGATAATAAGAGAGAGAAAGAGGAAGAGAATGAAGCAAGAGAAAAGGCTATTTCACCTTATTAAGGCTTCATTGCCACTCTATTTTGATTCTGTTCATATGAATTTTTATCTACCGAAATATTAATCTGTTCTCCTTTATTGCTTATAATAATTTTTGACCATGTAAAAGACGTGTATCCTGCTGTGGTTGTTTGTCACTCTTCTCACATAAAAGAGGTTGAAATATCAAAAGTATAATCTTTATAAGAGATGTTTGAAGAGTATTACCAAAATGAGAGAGAGAGAGAGAGTGAGAGATAGATAGAGAGAGAGAGAGAGATTGTCCTGAACAGTAAAATCTGAATTTTGTGAATGAATTGTGTGTTGGAGAAATGCGAGAAGTGTGTTTGACTTGCCCTCCTCACAATCCTTCTTTTTCCCGAGGCCAACGGTCTGTTGATTCTTATGCAAATGACCATCGCCTGTAATTGACGATTCCTTTACCTTTTAACCATTTTTGGTCTTTTCTTCATTGATTACAACTCTTAATGTATACGTGAAGGTGATTGATCCTCGTCATCCTCTTCTTCTTCTTCTTTTTTAAACAATTTTTCATAATGAAATCAATATTCAGAAGGATCATTTTGAGGACAATTTATTCTTTTGATCATTTTGTCCTTCCTTTATACTCGATGATTAGAGAATGAGTGACCGTCGTTATACTCAAGCTTTTCTTTCATTCAATCCTTCTCTCTATAACCCTCTCTCTCTCTACTCTTTATTGCCATATACCTCTCTACTTCTCTCTATTGCTATGTTATGAATTCCTTTATATATTTGCCTCATTTTCTTTTTATTCCTCATCATCATTGAATGATCATTAGATTGTCTATTCATAAGAGGTCAGATAGGTGTATAGAGAGAGTTATGTATATATTGGCATAAATCACACCAACCGACTGGCACATGATTCCACATTTCCCATCTTTTATTTCATTTCCAATTAAATTTTTTTTCTGTTGTTCTTTAATGATATTCCACCTCTCAATGGCTTCCTCTCCTTTTTCAGTTGGTTTCATTTGTTGGCATTCCATCTCTCTATCTCTCATTTTGTTTTGTTTTTTTCTATTTTTCGAATCCTTCTGATTGTTTCTAATTTCTGTTATACTCCACCTGGTCACCTTTTTCTATCAACAATAACGAGCCTCGTTGAACTTATTTGAGCTATTCGTTGTACCGCGCACATTCTGCCATCTGGATCCGGCAAGCGGATGTGCAACTAAGAGGGTGTCAGGTCATCAGAGAGACTGAGAACTGATTAAGACTCGTTTGGAGTCGATTCACTTGTAGTTAATCGATAGGGCTTTATAAAATGAAAATAGATTGAAAGAGAATGTATTGAAAGAGAGATAGAGATAGAGAGAGAGAGGAAAGAAAGGAGGGAAGAAGGGAGGTAGTGAGCATTATAGCTAGCAGGGAATTAGAGCTTCATGTAAACATAATGAAAATGGAATAATTTAGATTAATTATTATATTTCACTTCCATTTAGTCCTAACAATTTGTTAGAATAATATTATTTTTTGTCAAATATATATCAGCCATCATCTGATTGATTTTCATTTTTTCCAAAATCCATTTATGTTGAACAAAAACTCTTGTGAGTTGATGATTCCTTCGATTACGGTATCTCATTTCGTCTCAGCTCATCGACAGAAATGAGAAGCACAGAAATAGAAGAGAAAACGAGAGAATAGAATTGGTACCTGCTTGACAACGACCAAGACAAATAGGCGAATCCGTGAATTAGATGTGTGAACCATGTTTGTCCTCCATCTTTCTTCTACTTGTTCAAATTGCGTATTACTTTCTTACAATTTGTCTCCCTTTTACTATCGTCTTTCTTTCTTCTCAGATAAATACAGATCATTCATTGAAATAGGATGATTTCTAAGAAAAATGAACAAAACTCTGAAGAGAGATAGAGAGAAAAAGAGAAATGAATAAATGAAAGAGAGCAAGACAAACCGTAAAATAGGTGGAGCCATATAAGGTGTAGGAGGTATACGAGAAAGATGAAAAAGAAACTTTCAAGCAAAAAGTGAAATCGATTCGATCAGTCGTTTAGCAATCAGAAAGAGAGAGAGAATGAAAGAGGTAAAAGTGAGAGGGATGATGGGAGGGAAAGACACCATCATCCTAATGTTGACAACGACAAACCAAAAGAAAAATCATAAACGTATTGAAAGGTAAAATGATAGCTATGCATGAATGTTTTTTTGTTGTTGCTGCATTTCACCACTTGATGACTATATATAGAATAATCCATTATAATTTGTACTTTCACGTGATTTACGTGAACGTCATGAGTCATTAAATCATTTGTACGCATATGATTGGTGCAGAACGGTTGAACTTCCTTCTCTTCATCATCTCCCCCCTCCTCTCCCTCTTCATCCTCTTCTATTCTCTCTATAGTTTTCCTCTTCATTTCATTTACTCTTTATCTATATTTCAATGTAAATGTGAGAAATGAGTTGCACATATATGAAAGAAAGACCAGATCATTGTTCAAACAAATCAATTAAAGGCAAGTTTCGAGGTCGATCGTACAAATAATTACGGTCAGCAGCCAATTGGCTGGCTGTTTCAACCAACCAATGGGGAGGGGCTGATGAGGGCTAAGTGAGATGAATGAAATACAAGGTGTAACATATACAAGCCTTTTTATTTCTTCTCTCATACAGCCTGAACTGTTGAGATGCAGATAGAATGTTAGTGATTATGCTGAGAGATCGAGAGAGAGAGAGAGAGAAACAGAGTGGGGTGGGCTGTCTTTAGTTTAGCTAGAGCAATACGTAAACATGATCTGTCACCTTCAAATATTGCCATTGTGATGACTGTTCTGATCGTCAGATATTCAGAAGAATCATGGTCATATCCCCCCCTCCACCTCCTTCGTTCCATTTATAAATTGCTTTGTATGATATTTTGTCTTTTTAAAACTAATACCGTATAAGAAATACACAATCTTTTCAATAGCCATTTTTCCATATAATTTATTCTATTCATATTCAGGCTGCAAGTCTGGTTGGTGTAGCCACGGCTAGCGGATCTGGAAGTGGAGGAGCTTCTTCATCAGCTGCAAGCCAGCAGCATAACGTGATGACGATGCTTAATCTAATGAACATGCTCATGGGTCAGAATCCTTCCAATCTCACAATGCCCTTTTCAGGAATGTCAGGTATGAGATTAACATAAACATTTTGTACATTTTCACATTTATTCATTTGTAGGAGATGAAAGCTCAACTAATGATTCAGAGGAAGACCTTCTGCAACCAATCACCAGCACCCAGTTATTACAAATGATGAAGAAATACGGATTAGATAAGCTAACTAGTATAACATCTGAACTGTTACTAAAGTGAGGATTTCTTTACTGCTTTTACCTTATGCACGACCGCTCTCTAATCAAATGAGATTCAGAATGAAACAATGAAATTTTTTTTTCTTTCAGATTCCATCTGATCGTATCGATTCCGGATGAAAAAATTGCCAGTCTTGCCCAAGTTGATTGTTCATCCTGTGGAGAAACTTTGCCGTCTTTACTTGTAGGCTTCGTTCAATTTATGATTTCAAGTACTCTCTTTATAGGCTTTAAGTCAACACTTTTCTGAACAACACGCAAACTCTTCTATTCCGGAATCAACGAATCGTTCATTTGTTGATCGGTTGCTTTTAATATTGAGTGATGTTGAATCTCGTCCAAGTGGAAATGATTCTTCTGTTTCGACCAGTCGGGCAGCCTCCCGTGATGCTAGTGAGCCACCGGAGAAACGTGCCCGAAATTCGCCTACCCCACCAAGTAATGAATTATTCATATTATTAATTTATTAAAACAAATTTTTTCCAGTCGAAGGTAGTGGCTCTTCGAAATCGAATGATCTAGCTCAAATGGCAATGCTCTCTATGATGGGGGGACTGCCATACTTGGGGTCAACATCCTCGACCAATCCTTTATCAGGTTTCATGCCTCAGGCTATGCAAGATTTCTTTAACAATCAACTTTTGAGTCAACAGGTTTGATAGAATCTTCATTAAAAGTTATTTCTAAACAAATATTTTGTTCAGATGGGTCAATCACCAGCTAAGAGAGCTCGAACAAGAATATCAGATGATCAATTGAAAATTTTACGGTTTGTGGTTACGCCAAAAGATTATTGTTAATATTTAGCTCTAGACAATATTTTGATATCAATAATAGTCCGACGGAAGCTCAAATAAAGGAAATGTCCATCAAAGCTGGCTTACCTGAGAAAGTAATTAAGCATTGGTTCAGAAACACCCTGTTTAAGGTAATATTTTGATTCATCTTACGTTCAAATACGATTTGTCTCATGTTTTTTTTGGTGAATGCTGAAAAAAAAGAAAACAAAATGATTTTTTTATGCTAAATTGACAAAATTTCTAAAAAGTTTTGTCAATACCTGAATAGCACTGAGAGAGATGAGAGAAAGAGAATGAGACATTGAGAGAGAGAGATGAGCAGACATGCCCTATGTTCCCAAACTGAATCATCTGTCGTCGTTCATATATTCTAATCGGCATGTCATCTGAAACCTGTGTGACTATTCAGCTGACACGATAATGTTGATGAGATGGTTTTCAGCTGACGGCTAATGGTAGTTCTATCAAACTCCTAAAGAAAGTCAAAAGCTTTATTACTTCCGTCCTCTTTCATTTCTATTCAATACAATTAACAACAAAAAGAAACTGGGAGAGAGGTAAAGATGAAGAGAGTGTAAAAGAAAGGCGATCATGCAATACAATAGAACGAAAAGAAAAGATCTCGATTATGAGCAATTCGGGTTACTTTTCATCTGAAATAAGCCGGTGTTTGATACGCTTACAATCTGTTTGTTCTTCAATGCTTTTCTTGATCTTTTCACATATTTTGCTTATTCTCATTATATTCCTTTTATGAATGTCATTAGACAAATGTTCTGGTCAACATACACACGATTGTAAGATGACTAAGACAAATGTTGCCGTGGGAGACTATTTTATTCCCAGGTTTTGACAAGGCTCATCAGCCTCAAGACTCAACAATGACGTCATTCTTCATTTGTATAGTTAATTTTTCATAACTATTATATGGATAATGATCTTAGCATATCAGCACAAGAATGTGAATGAATAAGGTGAGAAAGGAATGAGATGTATTTTAAGAACAAAAACAACCGCTCACTGCGTCCTGTAGCATCAAAATGAAATTCACTCAGCGTTCGCGTGACGGTCTTTCAAATTAGAAAGAATAATGTGTAATTATGGAATATATGAACGGTCTAATGGAAATCCCCTAGATTTATAAAAAAAATAATTTATAAGAAGGGAATACAGAAATGAAGAGACAGCTAAAAGCAGAGAGAGAGAGAGATCCAATCATAGAGAGATGAGTATATAGAGGGAGAGAGAGAGAGAAAGACAGAAGACTTAAAGTAAAATGTAATCTGATCTGCATGGAAAAGATATTTAAATCTCAATGATCCAAATGAAATTAAGACATTCGAGCGATCAATTAACTCAACCATTTCAATTTTTGCAGGAACGTCAACGGGACAAAGATTCTCCATATAACTTCAGTGTTCCACCTCAGATGGCCATAGACTTAGATGCTTATGAAAAGACAGGAGAAGCTAAGATTCTTCCATTATCAAATCTGGTTAGTTTTTCAAATCGTTATTAATAACCTTCAAGGCATGAAACAACATAGTATTAATATAAATAATATATATATATATATATAAACTATATATATATATATTGCATTTTTATTATTTTTCGTCATTTGTGAGGTCTATAAGAAGCTCTTGAAGCTTTGACTTCTCTTTTCTCTTAATTACCACTTCATTCAATTGGATAGGTATTGCAATGGGATTTTAATATTCATTCCAATCATACTTTTTCATAGTAATTTCCTTTTTTGCTCTCTTTCTCTTTTTCTCTTTTTCCATTTTTCTCTTTTCCCATATTTCCACCCTCTCTCTCAAATTTCATTCATTCAATATCCATACGCCGTCTTTTATTATTATAACCTATAATTAAGTGAATTTTCTTTCGCGCTTTTTATTTCATTTTTCAAGATTTTTTATTTTTAAATTTCATTTTACATTTTTACCAAAATCGTAGGCAGATGTAAGTGACAAAACAAAGAAACGTGTCTGATCTTTCTTGAATTTTTAGTCAAAAAAAAAAGAAAAGACGCGTGAAGGAAGTGAGTTGATTAAGAATTGAACGTTTTTTGTGAGGTGTGAGGGAGATAGAGATAGAGAGAGAGAAAGTAAAGAGAGAGAAAGAGTAAGACAGAAGAAATGAGAGAGAGAAAGACAAAGACTAAAAAAAGCATTAGTCTATTGTGAATAATATTGATAGGAAAGAGAGAGAGAGAGAAATAGAAAAAGAGAGAGAGAGAACGGCTGAAACGCACAGCTGGACCGAACCAATTAGTAAACAGATCCTTATTAGGAACAGCATAAGATCATTATTAATATGACCAGGTGGCGCTTGGAGCCCTTAAAAAGAATAAGCAGCTTACTTTCAATTTCTTCGCACGTCTACCTCGCATATTATATTTTATTGTTTTTATTCTACCGAATGAGATGTTAATTTATAAATTTTGTCAATTGAAAGCTTCCCCATCATTCAGCTGTCAACATCTGCTTATTTGAGTTTGATTTTTATCTGAAACAAACTTTTTTATAACAAAATAGAACAACTTTTATAAAATCCTTCTTTATTTTCTTCGTTTTCAGCAAAAAATTGGTTTGAAATCAGACTCATCTGACGACGAGGGCAAGAAACCACCGTCTTCAAGTGTGGTGGCGGGAGTCTCACAGCTATCAGGCTCAGGTTCAAGCTCGGGACCAAGCTCGGCTGCATCAGGCGTGAACTCTACATCTGGTTCACAAATGCCTGAAAGTGCTACAGCAGCCGCTGCTGCTGCTGCCGCTGCGTTAGCAGCTCAAGCTGCCGCAGTGGCGCCTAGTGGCGCTGGAGCTAGCACCTCTTCTGGTGTTCCTCTCAATCTTCAAGCTATGATGCAGCAAATGCAACAAGCTGCAGCAGCCGCCGCCGCCGCAGGAACCAATCCTTTTCAGTTTATGGAACAACAAATGCATGGTTAGTTAACAATAATCATCATATATATAATGCTTTTGTTTTAGGCCAAATGTCATCTTCTGCTCCAACTGGTCGTCGAGCGAACCGAACACGTTTCACAGATTACCAGCTGCGAACACTCCAACAGTTTTTCGATAAGCAGGCCTATCCCAAAGACGACGATCTCGAAGTCTTAAGTAAAAAATTGCAACTTAGTCCAAGAGTGATTGTAGTTTGGTTCCAAAATGCTCGGCAGAAGGTGGTTGTACTCTAATTCCTTGTTCTTTACCGTTTGCATGACTTTTAGGCTCGTAAGATATATGAGAACCACCCAAACCACGAGAACAGTGATCGTTTTGTTCGAACACCAGGATGTAACTTTCAATGTAAACGGTATTAATTCGAATATTCGACAAACAATCTGAATATTGAGAATTACAGGTGCAACTTAGTCTTCCAACGTTATTATGAGCTCATCCAGCATCAGCAAAAGGCTTGTTACAAGGATGATGGAATAGCTTTAGCCAATGATAACAAGGTTTTTATATTTCTTTCTTTTCTTCTTTTCATTTCAACATCTTCAGGGAGTTGAAGAAACATTAACGGATGATGAGAAAGCCCAACTTGTTCAACAAACGACAATCTCAGCTTTAGCCGAAGCCACTAAGCCGTCTGATATTATGAAACTGCTCGGTGGCTCAAAATCTAGTACAGAAGCTTTGCTCAAGATGGTAGAAGGATTTTCGGATAGCAATCCATCATCATCTCACGGTTTTGCAGTGTGAATCAGCTAACCAGTCAAGTTTTGCCTCTTCTTCTACTCCTACTACCTCGTCTTCACCTCCTCCTGCCTCTTCAAATTTTAATAAACGCTGTCCATATTGTGCCTTATTGTTCCGTAATAAGAATGTAAGTTTAAAATATCATTTAATTATATGTTTTATTGAAAAATTTCTTATTATAGTCGATGATTGAGCATATCGGTAATCGCCATGCTCAACAGGTTCTCTTCCAACCTGTCGATGTTGATGAACTTCCTGAAGCAGAAGATGTACCCCTCCTTTCCGGAAGCAATAATTCGTCTGATGCAAATGCAGATTTTGCCTCCTCAGCTGCTCAAGAGTATGTAATGATAGTAATTATTTAGCTAAACAACTATACGATTTTGCAGCCGTGAATCACTTTCCATGTCTCCTTTTTTGAATCAAAGTGACGGAGACGAAACAAATGATTATATAGATGATGCCAGTTTCACTACCTTTTTGTCTTCTGCAGCTGGATCCCATCCAGCTTCCTCTAGATCACCTGCTAATTGTAAACGTTATAGAACACATTTAACGCCTCTTCAAGTTCATGTAAGATCATATTTGCTTCCTCTTTCATATGTTCATATTTTAGGTGATGAAATGTATTTTTACCGATTATAAAACACCTTCCATGACAGAATGCGACACCCTCGGTCGCGAAATTGGTTTACATAAACGAGTTGTCCAAGTATGGTTCCAAAACGCTCGAGCCAAGGAACGAAAAAGTCGTGCTTCGAATGGAGATGATGACGTCTTCCGTAATACTGCAAAATCTTGCGAACTTTGCAATGTAGAGTATACGGGGAGAACAACGATGCAAGACCATTTGTTCAGGTTTGTAAGACTCATCTATTTATTTCATAACACCAATGTTTTACAGTTCTACTCATCTTGCTGTTATCAAAGCCTCCTCAAAAAACGAATTAGGACCTGAGATATCAAATGAGAATGGTGGTCATTCAGGCTCTTCTGAGAAGAGCATGAAGAATAGCTCGTCATTATCCAAAGTTCCCAAGACTTCTCAAATCTCCAACCTCCCACTCAACGGTTTTCCTTTAAGTCTCATGATTTCCGGTTCAAGTAAGTCTACATTATAACTGCTCTGTAATTTACTTAATTATATTCCAGCGTTGCCTTTAGTATTTGATCAAGCAATTTTCGGTGTTCCTGTTAGTTTGCTACAAATTCCTGAGAATGTTAAAGATCAGATCAAGACTGATATGGGGGCTGGCTTGACATCAACCACTTTCACCCATGATGGAGAAACAGTTGATGGTCTTCGAGAAAGCATATCATCCGAAGATAGTAAATGGCTAGTCAGTGAGGATGTTGAGGTAATAGACCTATAATTAGATATCATATATGAATATTTATTGTCTCAGGTTGGCTGGGGATGTCCAGCATGCTCTAATGTGTTCCAAATGGAATCACAGCTCAAATCACATCAACGCCAATTTTGCCCGGGTTCAACCGTTTTCACGCTCATTCAGACTCATTATAGCTGCTCATTATGTGATCAAAAATATGGAAGTCAACGTGAATATCAAACCCATATTACATCACTTGAACATCAGACAAAGCGCATCACATCAATGCCAGAGTTAAGCTTATTCTCTTAACTCTTGTATAGCTATATGTGTCACAGTTTTTCATTTCATATGGATTTCATAGTTAGATATTTATCTCTAAATTCTCTAAAGTTCACAGATAATAACCGTGCTGAGCATGCTATTGACGTTAACATAGTTATTTGTTTTTGGCTAAAATGTGAATATTTTCAACAACAACAAAAAAACAAACCTTCCCCGGTACGTTTGTGATCATCTTTATAAGATACCATGTTCTCCTTCTAACCATCTTTCAGAAGAAAAAAAGAATGTCTATAACTGTTTGTATTTTATTTTGCACGAATAGGGCTTTACAATAATAAGCTATTAACAGATTGTATCTCGTATTTAATAAATTTATTTTTTTTCTATCACATTGCTCTTCTTCTCGAATGCAACCTCCTCAGAGGAGACAATGCTATCTCTCAAGAACATTCTACATGCTAGCATGGAGTTTGAACTTTGAGATTACTATGATCCATATAATGTCATGACCTTTTTTGAGTACTCGTACCTATGACAGTGTATTTTGGTACAGACTATAGCAGATAATTGATTTTTCAACGTGCCGCTTACACTTCTGTAAACGGAAAGCCACTCTCCTTTGTTAGTTTCAAACGTCTGCGCAGCTTCAGGAAAGCTAATTCTGTGAACGTCATGTATTTTGATTTTGAAATTTGAGTCTGTGAGAAATTTGGTGTCCCTTTTGAATTATTGGTAGCAAAGCGAGTGGAGAAAGAAGTGTCAGTTTGAATGTGAAGTATGATTCATACCTTATAATAATTAGTTAGTAAATGTCCTGCTCTATTAATAACTGTTTGACTTCTTTGTTTACAATTGTCTGATTGTCTTGAATACTGTTGACTTGAAAATTTCTTTCGGACTTGTAAGGATTCAAATCATTTTCTTAAGAGGATACCCTTGCTTTGCTCATCGTTTCTGCATGATAGACTCAACATTGGGTTTGATACCTAGATTAAGTCTCTCCAATAATTCTTGTGTTGCACACTTTGAGGGGATAGGGAGTGAGAGGAGATTCGTGAGAAGAATGATTATCTATGTAAAATACTTGGTTTAGAAGAGAAAATCATTGCTGATGTTTGTAAGGTTGGTCAAGTCGCACCACAACTCTGAATCCAAGTTGAGTGAACAACGGGGCTTCCTTAGGAACTCGATCTTCTCCTGATTATAAATCTTGAAAACATTCACTGCTTCTATAAACCTTGTAAAAAGAAGAGACAACTTGTTACTTGGGTAGTTTACTTTTCTTGGATTGGTTACAGACTAAAGAGATATAGTAGAATGAAATAGACTTAACATGGAAGTGTGAGACGAGCAAAGCAAATAGCTGTAGTAATAAGCGCAGGACATGCCAAAGCAGTTGTGTTTTCCAAAAGGCATCCCCTGATTGTGTGAGAGTAATGTATCTGATTGTTAATCCGATTTCATAAGTGATCACTGATTCTTTGGTGATTGAAGGAAAATACTCCCCTAGGTAGGCTGTAGGCGACTGTATACCCAGTTTTCCAACCTCTAGTAGTTTCGTATAAACTTTTCATGTATCTTATCGAACTTTTCTGTTTTTTATTGTTCTAGGCAACTATTTTTACTTGAAAATCTGAAATTTCTCGGTTTTTTTTTCTCTTTTCTCTGTAAATTTTCTCTATGTTATTGTCCTTGTTTCTATGGAAGTTTTACCATTGAATACACTGTTGATGTAAACTTTTGAAAGACCCATCTGATTCCTCCTTTCTAGTTACTCCTTGTTTCTCACTGTACCGTTCTGAAACAATCTTAATCAGTACTATGTTTTCCCATTCTCCTGTTTTCAATGCTTAGTTGTTCATATCAGTTTGTTTTTGTTGCATATGCTGGTTCGTCCCATGTAAACTTGACTATTTTGCAGAGGAACGATGCTCGTTACAACCTCCGTACTCTCAACTCCACTTGCCGAGCCATCACGAACAGACTTATCCGTATAAGCTTTTATGAAATGGAGAAGGTCGAGTGATAAAAGTGAAGTTGCGTGCTAACATACAAGACCATTCACACAAATATTTGAGGCCTTCCTCATCGAAAGTATGTGTTCGTCGTTTCAAAAACAACATGAACTGGGATATGCATAATCATCATATTATGTTAGGAGAGGTAAGAAGAAAGTTGTGATTTTAATTATTTTAAAATTGTAGCATTTTTGCGAGGCGATTTTAATTGGAAGAGCTCTGAACATACAGACTACTACGCAAGAGAAAAACACTGCTGTTAGTACCCGATTGCCCTGCTCTTCAACAATCTTTATGATGAACCATCTGTTATTCTAATTGTTTTCTTCTTTTTATTAATAAACTGTTCTCAACTGATTGTTCTTATAACTCAACCTCGTTTGTTCGAGTTTTCAAAACATACTTTGTTCTTCACAAAAACAGAAGACTTGTATTTCGTGCTTTTTTTGTTTTGATCATCAGGATCGGCTCAAGTCACTGGACATGTTTAGAAGCGCATGTCTTCTTGCATGATATTCCATTCATCAAACAAGTAGCTCCTTCAAACTTTCGGATGAGATCTCTCCCGTAGAGGAAATGATCGCTGTAGAGTGGATTACTCACAATACATTGAGATAAACGTAGGTGACTCCCACTCCAATTGAAATTTTTTCAGATTAAGCTCATCGTTGTTTATGTCCCTATTTCGGCTACGTTAACGTTTCCAAAAAAATGTATTGGAGTGATGTAGATAGTTTCTCTAACTTCTATGTTGTTGGGCAGAACAGTAATCTTTGTTGTTAGCAAGATACTACCCACTATCTGAAAGGTGGCAGTATTGTAGTGGCTTGAGTAGTGACTGATAACTGTAACTGGAGGTACAAATTGATCTCGTTGATTGATGTTTTTAAAGCTTTATTTCATATTTCGTGGAGAAGAAATGATTGGTCAACTGCAGTTTCATGAGGCAAATGTTCAAGTTACGGACAATCCGCCAGTTCCAACGATACCTAACCCATCTGAAAGATAGTTACGAATCAAGGAACACGAGTGGAGAGACATGTAATGATGTAGAACGTTTGTGATCTCATGTGTTTCAGATGATTGTTGAGGACGCATCAAGCCTCGGAAAGTGTAAGGACGGGAGATTGAAGGACTTGGAATTCAAACGTAAGTTTTAATCTGAGATATTTTACTTTACATAATCTTTCATTCAGTTTCTCAAAGAGTATTCACTGATTCCTTGTCCTGAACCTATCCATTGAAGTGAAAGAGTAGCAGGTAAGAACTAAGTGGTTAAGCTAATGTTAATTGTGTCCTTCTAGATTACAGGAGTGAGAGTAATCTGCTAGTGGGTGATGGAGGATAAGAGCGACGACGACGGAGGAGATTGGAGCCCCTGGAAGCTTTAGGACTTGGGATTCAAACGTGAGTCTGAATCTGAAGGATCCAACTTAACATAATCTTTCATTTAGTTTCTCAAAGAGTATTCACTGATTCCTTGTCCTAAACTTATCCAATCAAGTGGAAGAGTAGCAGGTAAGAACTAGGTGGTTAAGCAAATGTTAATTGTGTCCTTCTAGATTACAGGCAGGAGAGTAATCTGCTACTGTGTGATGGAGGATCAGATCAACGACGATGGAGGACAAGGATA